ATCAGGGCCATTGCAGCACTATAGTATTACAAAACCATCTTGTGTGTGTACACACTGTCCATTCCTGATTCTCTGTGATCCATAGCTTTCTACACAGTATTCTCTCTGAGAAAACAAGCCAACTCAGAATGGACTAGGTTCAGTAAACAAAGGTGTGGACACTGTATGACATGCACCTCAGCAGGCAATTAGAGATTTCCCACCTTCTTCCTCAGTCAAGTTTCTTCATGCAGGATCAGAGGCAACACACATTTTTCAAACTCCTTGTGTCAGGTCCTTCCATTCATTTTTGGCTATAGTCCACTGAACATCAGATGATCAGCAAAAACTTTGGTTTTAGAGATAAGCTGTGACTGACAATAAGGCCATCCTATCATCCATGAGCTAACTTAAATCTCTTAATAGCTTTTTCATCACTAAGAAGCATTTACTGCTTATGGAGTTAGATATGAATACTCAGGGCTATGTGCACACTCCATCACACCTTTCATAGAAGAAGGATATGTCCCTTGCTCTAAAACAAGATTCATAACCTGAAGTATTCCACATTAATAACAGCAATTCAAAATACTAACTGCAAAGCTTTGCTCATCTTTGGCTACATCGTCTCTCCCTTTGCACCCTTCTATGCATCATTTTCTACTCTAACAAGCACAAGCTACTTGTCCTTATGAGCTATTTGTACCTTCCTCTCAGCTTCATATTCTACATTGTGAAGACTGAAACTGAAATGAAAAGGGGAAAAAAAAGGGGGTTTCAGTAAAACGTTCAGAATGTCTGAATCTTGCCTGACTGAAGAGCCCTGGCTCTCTTAAAACAAGCTGTGGGATGGATTTGCTTGTCTCAAAACAACACACAGGTATTCAGGCCTCTCAGGATCATTATCAGAATGCCCTTCCACTAACTGGGCTCAAAAAGCTCAACACCTAGCTTCAGTTTGCATGGCTACTTCACATCTTTTCCAGTGGAGTAAGCGTAGACTATGAGCAGCTTGCTAGCATTAGACAGGTTAGCAAACTTAACACATCAGAAAGGTAAAACACACATCACAGTGGCTTGGAGAGGTTGTGCAAGGGACTGAAAGAACTGAGGGTAGATTTGCCAGAAACCATTTTGATTTTCATATGGTAGTAAAGAGTGCTGTTATTTTATCTGTGTTCTGTACTTGAACTTATTACGGGAATTACCCTATTAATTTGCAAGCTAACTAATATTCCCTGGAGAAGTAAATTGTAGAATATTTGAGCCTTAAACCCAGGAGCAAGTGGACGTAAAACCTTGCACAAACATAAAAGCATGCACATCCAGCTACCCCGTGCCTCTATTTGGCCTCTCTAAAGATACAATTGGATCAAAGCCTGACATCTCTGCTGGTGACTGTCAGTCCTCACTGACATCTGAGAAAGTGAATGTTAGTCTGGGAATGTCAATGGCGCCTCCAAATAATGCAGCACCTCTGAAGAACTGGATCGCGCTGCCAGAAATGGCCAGCAGCCCAATTCCTCTTCTGGAGTCTTAAAATACCAATAGTCTTCTGGCCATCAAAATTCTGTCAAGTGAGCCATTCAGTAACGAATAACACAAGTCTAAAGATAATACTTTTGTGATGCAAAGCCAAGAAATAGTCCGAGAGGGAAAAGTGTGTGTGGGGGGAAGATTATGCCATATGTTTCTGTAATAGTGTATCTGCACTATATTTATGTGTATATACTTACATCTACTTATATGCACAATATGTGTGTATTTGTACCTATTTGCAGGAAGACATGGGGTGGCACAGGCACTGTGATTTAAAAAGCAGACACAACCTATTTTCCATGAAGTTGCTTCTCCAGTGCTGAAATTCATTCCAGCCAGTATGTGGATTTATTATTGCACCACAGACCCATTGCAAGACATATCTTTGCCTACCTGTAAGGCTTTGGCATCATGTCTCATAGCCCAAAAGTGTCACTGGAAAAACTTTCAGTGATTTCAGTGGCTTTTAACTGAGCTCAGAGAATAAATGTGAACTGAGGGTTGTAGGGTTCCAGTTATTACTAATTATTGCAGTAATAAATTATATAGAGTTTACATTTCAGAGCAGGTGGTTTGCTGAGATGTTTGCTGAATTATTATATTTACCACCTAATTTTGTACCTAAATAGCAGGAGCTGTGGGAATCCTTAACTTTTATAAGCTAAGCCTATAAACCAAACCTATGAAACAGGTTTAGCTTTTAGCATTCAGTTTGCCTACAAGCATAGAAATCGAGCTTGTGTGATAGCATGCACCTATTTCTTTTACTTACCAGACTGACAATAAAAACAAAAGTGCTGTTCTGAAGAGGCATCAGTGTGAAGGCTACCGGAGTATCATCAGAACAGAGGTCTTGTTCCCAGTGGCTGGCTCCCTACAGCCTCTGCTACCAAATGCTCCATCCCCAGAATAAAATGTCAGTATTGCCCTTTTCAAATGACTGTCAATACGTACACCTCGAATTATACAAACCTCTTGTTGCACTATACGACACAGCAGGATGAATTACTGGCGGGTATTAAGGATGTGTACTACAGAACAGCATACACTAGCTGGATTTATATGTCCACCGAAACAATCTCCAAACAGATTTCAAAAAGGTTTCCATTCACAACAGCATGGAGAATAAAATACCTATACATGTATTACTTGTTGCTAATGTTTAAAATCAGCAGCAAAGAAGCAGAATTACTCTTTCATCATCCAGTGGTCTGGGAAGCCTGCGGCCTGGAAAGTGACTGGGAGATCCCACAATGTCACACACCACTTCCAACTATGAAAATTTATGTACATAAAAATGACCTCGGGGGCCAGTGCAAGGTTTTCTGCAACTAATTTTCCCAATCCTTTTGTCTTAAATTTACAGATCTAAGCAACTGTGCCTTTTCATTTGGACAAAATTTTTCTCTCACTCGGTAGATCTCCTCTTGGCAGCATGTTTTTCTTCCTATCACACATATTTTCCAATTCTCAATCTCATGCCATTACTCCTACAATAGTTCTCCACCCTTGTAGTACCCTAAGTAATTCATATTCCTGTTTAATGTTTAAAGCTTTCAAGTATTTTCAGATTTACTTCTGTTAGGCCTCTTAGTCAAATTAATATATGCACGTTTGCCCGCTCTCCTTAAATAACACCCAAATACATCTGTTGGTTGCTTTTCCCATTTAGATTTTTCTCTGACTTGGCAACCTCTAAATAAGGTGTTTGTACATGGGTATGCTGAAAGTTCAAAATCAGTGTGAGAGGGGAAATAAACATTAACAAATGCAGTTTTGTTTCAGCAGCTGCTGCAGTAAGGATGTTGATGAAGAAAGAGCCCCAGGATTTAAATGATTAGGAGTTAATGTGATCAGTTCTGATTACACTTACTTCATAACTGAATAAAGACTGCCACCATGAAGTTGGACAAAGATTTGTATTCCGCCCTCAAATTCTTTTGCTGGAAGACTAATAACAGTAGTGGTTCTGGACGCAGCACTGGCTTGGTAAGTGAGGCAACCTTCCCATAAGGAAAATGCTGATAACATCACATGTTATATGAAGCTTATAAGTAACTTTGTATGATCATTGGAGAAAGCTAACTTGGAAATACTTTTTATAGTTGTGAAGAATGATTAGACACCACAAGCAAGGCAAATACATTATGGAACAATACCAGTATTGTGTCCCAGTGCTAAGAAGGTAGAAAGGTTTGCTTTTGTACACTGGTTTTGAAGATCATGACCATATTTTCTTGAAAAAAAACATTTTAATTGCCATCTTTACACATCTCATTATTAAAAAGCATTTTAGAAAAATGTTACATATAAAACCAAGATGTAGTTGCAATTTCTTTTGTACCTTGACTTACCACCAAATCTATAAGCTTTGCCAAATAGTAAAAAAACAGGAAGTAGCACACAAGCAACTTTATTTTGCTACTTGCCATTCTCAGCTTTAATAGCAGTATAAAAATACGAGCTGAAAGAGGGAAAACTTAGTCAGAGGATGATAGCAGAAAAGATGCACTAATTTCAGGTTTTACACCTATTAAAAATAAGAACTACCAGCATATATTTTTCTTTTTTTAATTACTTATAAAATAGTTAAAGAGCTGCTTCTGTGCAAGAACTGGAAGAAAGTCACTGAAAAAAAACAGGGCATATTAAACTAAATTAAACTGCAAACTATTAGTCAGGTGAAACCAGCTATCAGAGGAAACACTGGCAAGTCCTGTCTTAGTAAGAGCATAAAAAAGTCAATTTTGGTAAGACTAGAACTGAAGAAAAGCTAACAGTTGTCCTATGTAGTGCTGAATTTCTCATGGGACTACTGATGTTTAGCAAATGTATCTGTGTTTGCAAGACTCGGGTAAAGAACATTCTTGATCTTTTAGACTTCTTTGAGAATCCCTAAACAACCACATTTTCACAGGGGAGGGGGATTTATTGTCCTGCCCCTCTCCCCCTCCACAAAGTGACATTTCTCAACCAGTTGTGCATCACTAGGTTGGCGGAAAAGCAAATAGAGCCATATATTGTTCCTATATGGACTCAATATATGACTCCTCACAACAGACAATTTGGGATTTATTTTCTACTGTTAAAAGTCTATAAAGCAATTTTTTATGAATCCCAAAAGCACAGAGAGATGAAATACTGTTATACCAAGGGTTTATTCACACTCACGGGAAAGAGCTGTGTAACTATCTGTGCTGTTTGAGTACATATTTACATTTGACAGACAAACTGAATATTCAGATCAAGCACCTCAGTTAACTGAACACTCAGTAACTGAAAATCTGCTTCCAATTAATCATATAATATTCCTAAATTAAATCAATTAAAAAAACAAAAACATTTTTGACTGCTTGCTTCAAATGATTTTATGTGTGTTAAGGCGTTCAGAAATTTTGCTAGATGAACTATATCACCTTCTTGTGAATGATGAACCCAAAATATATGTTTAATTTTCAAAAGGAAGAAATGTGTTCACTTACATGGTTTCTTTTGTTTTCTCCATCTTTTATAGATGTAATAACTGTCTCAGAAAAAACGGTTGATCCAGTTTTGTTATCTGTAACCTGATATGGCAAAAGAAGAACAAAATATCAAACTACAATTTTTTATTAGTCTTTTGTTACTCTCAGTCCTGCAATAATAAAGTTCTACAATAATTAACGCACCCTCACCCCCTCCTTTTTTTCCCATTTTGCTGTCACTCATATAAAATCCTAATCTGGAGGGGGAAAGTAGATGACAAGGCTACCTCTTTATCTATTTAAAATGTCACTGTAATGAAGCTAACTGAGCAAGAGATGGTCATTTTTTTATGCCACATTAATAGCTGTACCTGTGTTCTATTTTTAGCAGGCATTTTTTTCAAAATAAATTATTATTTCACATTAACCTTTTATGACATGTGTCCCTACACAATGATTAGGCAAGCAAACAGGATACAATAAAACCCTAAAGTAATTGTAATCAAGAAAGTTTATGCTCCAAATTATCTTATTTCTCCTCAAAACAGGCCAAATTGTTTTTATTTTTGAGTAAAAGGTTGTGTAAGAGCCCACAGTTTGCTATACATGTTTTCTCATACCTTATCAATTTCTTGATGCGTCTGAACAGTGTGATTACCAATTCTGGTCTCTGTGTTGGACTCATTATGGTAGTTGGGAGGTAAGTTTTCAAAGTTTACTTCTGACAGTTTTTTAGCCCCTTCCTCTTCAGCTTCCATCTGCCAAATTTAAATACACCAACTGAAACTTAGCAACAATTACACAAAAAGAGAACAAGCAACATTCATTGTGCAGCCTGCAGTAACGCCCTGTTTCATTATGTGATGCTGTCAGTACAGACCCCCTCTAAAGGAACGATTACTCAGCTGTTTCAGACAGTGACCTCTGCAGTTCTTTTAATGGCCTAGAGAAACACTGGAGAGCTAAACCCTGGAGCTCTGGACTATTTAAGCCAAAGTCAGTCCCTGTGAGGAAAAACTCTGCGACGAGTAGTGACAATCTGGTATCTGCACAGGCTGATGCTGGTCAAGACCCCAGCATTCTGATTTTCCCAGAAAACCACTACATACTTAAGACTTTCCCATCTGACAGAGAAAATATTCTGGCAGGACTGAGAGCAATAGTGAAAGCCCCTTGAAGTCAACAGAAGCAATCCTATAGATCAGGGTGCACACATCCAGAATTTCATTCTCTATTTCAGTTCCCACTGTCCTCGTTTGCCAGATGAAGACTCGACACAGAAAAGGAGTGCTCTCTGAATCAGAAAACAGAGTAAGCTCAGCAAAAGGGCATGAGTCTTGTAAACAACACAAACTCCGAATTAGCTGTATCCCTTTGTTATTTGCAAGTGCCGTAACAGAGCTAAGAGGCCACAAGTTCAGCCAGGCTGAACAACAGAATTTCTCCCAAGACAAAATTTCTCTTTCTGGTGTTTCAGTTTATTTTAAACAACAGCTGCAAACCTTTTTAAGTGCAAAGCATTTATCTAAGATGCAGCTCAGGCAATCCACATTTTGTGCTGTATACACACCATTCCTCAATCCAGAACTGACTACAGGAAGATAAAACAGAAATTTTGACTACATCCTTATGTATAACTAAGCATATTTTTTTGGCATTAAAAAAATGGTTTGCCTCAATGGGTTCATAGTCTAAATGAAGTGGATGACAGAGGTAGATTTCAGCAACTGTCCAGATGACAGTAAAAGTTAAGAAATTATCTAATTATAGTAAGCAAAGGTCTGTGTTTTCCCAGTGGGTTGTCAGTAAAAGGTTTTTTTAGACTATGTATTTTTTTAATGAGAGGAAAAAAAGGACCAGGAAAGAAGATTCTTAACATGAAGGGGGAAAAAAGTGCAGGAGTAAGGGGAATGCAGGAACAAGGTCTTTTGAAAGCAATACGAGACAATGGCTCAGGGTTTAGACTCAGTTCCTGGCTTTGAAACAGGTCCTGTGTGCTTGTGGGCAAGGAATTTAAGATCAAGGCATGGAATCACGTCAAAAGTAATCTGCTTCTCCACACGTGTCCTCAGGACTGTCCTACACCACTGAATCCTGGTTCGGGAGAATCTCTCGTGTCTTAGTTCCGGCTGTAAAAAGACAGTAAGACAGCTCTTCGCTTCACTCCTCCCCTTGCCACGCACATTTTTTTCTCACTTTAGGCTTCAGAGGGACTATTTGCCCACATTTTTGCCTCACAATTTGCCAGACGGTGCCTTTCCAAGGCAAGCCCGGCGCCGCAGCGAACACCCCTGCGCACCCCGAG